TGAAAGGATTATTCCATGTCGGCCAAAGGTGTTTTAACAATGAACAAACTCTTTAAAAAAATACTCTATTTTATCTAATTCCTTCTACACGAATAATGTTGGAACAACGTTTAGTGCGAGTCTATTTCGTTGAATCGGCGTTAATTTAAAAGAATATAGTACCTATAGCATAGTATATTCATTATAGGAATAGAAATGAAATCAGTGTTTCATCTATCCGATGTTTTATTCATCTATTTTCTAATGAATACCTACGCTATTTCCCTGCACGCAAATGCCTTTGAAACAGCGTTCATTGCGAGTCTATTTCGTTGAATCAGAGTTTGTTGAACGTTATTTCAACATGAGATGCCTGGTGGCTAATTAGACGTGACGCTCAGCCTCCCTCTGCACCACGCATGTGAAGAGCGCTCTGCACCAACCGAGCTCTTATATAGTCTCTGCACGGATTGTGTTGTGTTAGTGAAGAACTTCCTATCAAATTCATGGCACATTATTGAAAAATACTCATAATACCTAGTCGTAGGTTCTGATAATAAGTATAAGTTTGTTTGCCATAACTTTGCACTGAAATTCGCTGGTAAAATTCTTGTTGTATTATCGGTATTGAAATAATTAAACTGGTCGCTCTTTCTGCAGTATCGATGTCTCTTGTTATAATGCTAAGTGTAAAAAGGTTATTTATTCATTTTATTCATTATTCATTAAAATTCGCCTTATGTTCCCTTAGGTCAAGGTCAAGGCTCCTTATTTACACTCTACATTAGAAGCCTGTTGCCAAAAATTAGTGAATTAACAGATTGGCGCTGCTTGCAACTTGTTATTCATTTTTAGATTAAATTTATTTAACAAAATGTAAATAGCTGCGTCAATACGTATTTTGTACTGCATAATATTTACACTCCCTCCGTGATGCATGCGAACACCAGAAGTGCTTCATTAAATTTTATCGTGTCGTTTATATGTTCTAATAATACCCATGTATATATATGCATTAATAATAAATTATATGTTTAAAATAATTATTTATATGCTTTTATTGATATTATATGCTTTAAAAATACACATGCATGAATAATATGTATATCTGCTATCATCTCATCAACCTAACCTCATCATCACACCAGCTCCTGCCTTCACACCATCACACCAGCTCCTGCCTTCACACCATCACACCAGCTCCTGCCTTCACACCATGAAGGCTGTGATGAAGGCAGCGCCATCATCATGTAATTACCTGCATCTGATGCCCCGCTTACCCGCCATCCAACCGGCCGCTGATGGCGGTTGCCCTCAATCCTGTCTACATCTGCACCGTATAGCGCCTACATCTGCACCGTAGCGCCTACATCTGCACCGTAGCGCCTACATCTGCACCGTATAGCGCCTATATCTGCACCGTATAGCGCCTATATCTGCACCGTAGCCGTAGTACTGTATGAACCGCTATATGAACCGCTATATGAACGGCTATATGAACCGCTATATGAACCGCTATATGAACCGCTATATGAACCGCTATATGAACCGCTATATGAACCGCTATATCAACCGCTATATCAACCGCTATATCAACCGCTATATGAACCGCTATATGAACCGCTATATGAACCGCTATATGAACCGCTATATGAACCGCTATATATGAACCGCTATATATGAACCGCTATATGAACCGCTATATGAACCGCTATATGAACCGCTATATGAACCGCAATATGAATCGCTATATGAACCACTATATGAACCGCTTTATGAACCTCTATATGAACCGCTATATGAACCTCTATATGAACCGCTATATTAACCACTTTATGAACCTCTATATGAACCGCTATATGAACCGCTTTATGAACCGCTACAACTGACGTGGTTCACATAGCCGTACCATGTACTCAGCCATTACAATATTTGTGTTTGTTTGCAGGTCGCCAAATTGGCATAAAAAACGCAACAAACAAACTGATGGATAACAAACTGGTCGCTTTTTTACTTATTGGATAATTTAATGTTGGTTCTCGCTCAGTTATTTTGCGTATTGTAATTATATGATACAGATGGTATAGCTATATGATAATATAGTCATGTAGTCTATAATAATATAATACCACAACACCACCCCACCACCACCACCACCGCTACATTGATGATATATGCTGTCAATCTGATATATGCAGGGCAGTTATCCATATAATTAAATTATATTTTAGGTAATATACTATATATTACCTAAATTATTATACATTTGGTATTGTCAGAGGTGGGCAGTAGCGCGCTACATGTAGCGGCCGCTATACTAGCGGCCGCAATATTTTCAGTAGCGGTAGCGGCGCTACATTTAAGCAATTGTAGCGGTAGCGGTAGCGCCCGCTACATTTAGAGTATGTAGCGGTAGCGGTAGCGCCCGCTACATTTAGAGCATGTAGCGGTAGCGGTAGCGGCCGCTACATTTAGAGCATGTAGCGGTAGCGGGAGCGGCGCTACATTTAGAGCATGTAGCGGTAGCGGTAGCGCCCGCTACATTTATTAGAGCATGTAGCGGTAGCGGTAGCGCCCGCTACATTTATTAGAGCATGTAGCGGTAGCGGTAGCGCCCGCTACATTTAGAGCATGTAGCGGTAGCGGTAGCGGCCGCTACATTTCAAAGTAGCACTGCCCAGCTCTGGGTATTATAACCGTGGGGTGATGCATGTGATGTACATCGCATCGCCCCGGCCTCGACTACCCTTGATGCGCTGCAGTGATGCACATTGTGCAGTAAAAATTCCCGTTATACAATTATTGTAGTTATTCACGAGTTTTAATGATAATAATAAGATATACTTGGTGAGGAGAGGCTCAGCTGGCAATAGGAATTAAAGATCACATTGTCGTGCCGTCTTTGCTGCAAGCTGCAGTACCTTAATAGAACTTTTTAGTTATTTATTTACTTTATTTAAAGGAAGTTTATTTTTACAACCAAACTAGACCCTCAATGCATCATTCGCCACATCACCACGCCACCAAACCACACCACCAACATCACACTACACCACCACCACACCACCATCACACTACACCACCACCACACCACCACCACACCACCAACATCGCACTACACCACCACCACACCACCACCACACCACCAACATCGCACTACACCACCACCACACCACCACCACACCACCAACATCACACTACACCACCACCACACCACCAACATCACACTACACCACCACGACACCACCAACATCACACTACACCACCACCACACCACCAACATCACACTACACCACCACCACACCACCACCACTCCACCACTACACCACCACTACACCACCACCACACCACCACTACACCACCACTACACTATAATGCTGACATCATACTAACACTAATGCTGTCCTATCATAATTATTTTTAATTAATTTGCAAGCTTTTGTTTTGTTGAACTTAAACTTTAAAACATTCCCCTAAATACCCTCGTCCTACCCTCGGTTGGCATCGTTATCGTCGAGGTCATCGCGGCTCTTCCCTCTTTCTGACATTCCCCACTCCC